TCTTCTCCAACCCAAACCATTCCATGGTTCCACCTGACTGTGATCAACCCTCACAGTCTTCTCCAACCCAAACCATTCCATGGTTCCACCTGACTATGATCAACCCTTGAAGTCTTCTCCAACCCAAACCATTCCATGGTTCCACCTGACTGTGATCAACCCTTTCAGTCTTCTCCAACCCAAACCATTCCATGATTCCACCTGACTATGATCAACCCTCACAGTCTTCTCCAACCCAAACCATTCCACGACTCCACCCGTCCATGATCGGTCTCTCCGGTGCCGGACCGCCCCCACCCCAAGTCCAACCCCACCACCCGAAGCCCCCCCGGGAGGCCCCGGGGCGGGCGGGTCCCTCTGACCTGGATGCGGACGAAGCGGGGCGCGGCGTAGGCGGGCAGCGTCTCCTCCGTGAAGGTGTAGAGCTTGTCACCATCGAAGGTGGCGCCGTCCTTGAGGCGCACGGCGGCCATGCCGCAGCGGCCCTCGCACCCTGCCGACGTCGCCCGCGGTCACCTGGGGCCACCTCATCTCCTTGGGGTCCACCTGAGGCCCCCCTTGGGCTACCGGGGTGGCCGAACGTGGTTTTGGGTGGCTCCCTCCCGGTTCTGGGGTGGCCTCAAAGCAACTCTGGACTTTCCAAAGTCACTTTGGAACCTTCTCGGAGGTGGCTCGGACCCTCCGGGGACGCGTCACCCGCCCGGGACGCCCCCCCACCAGTTCCTTGTTTCGGTGGCGACTCACCCGGCACGGCCACGCCGTAGACGTTGACCTCCTGGATGAAGCTCACCAAGCCCAGCGCGGCCTCCACCTCCGTGGTGGCCACGTTCTCCCCTTTCCAGCTGGCGAGGAGAAGGCCCGGCGCCGTGAGCGGGACATCGGCGCCCGGCCCCCGCCCGCGGGGACACGCGCCGGTGGGGTGGGCCTGGCGCTCACCGGAAGGTATCCCCGACGCGGTCCTGGAAGTAGATGAACTTCTCGGCGTCCATCATGAGGAGGTCGCCGCTGTTGAAGAAGGCGTCGCCTTTGGCCAGGACGTCCCTGAGGATCTTCTTCTGGGTCTTCTGCGAGTCGCCGGCGTAGCCGTGGAACGGCGTGTTCTTGGTGATCTTCACCACCAGCAGCCCCGTCTCACCTTCACGGGGAGGAAGAGGAAGGGTTGGGGCCACCTCCTGCCTCGGTTTCTCCCGGGGCTTCCTGGTGGCTCCAGGAGGTCGTGGTGGCTCGGGCGCTCACCGGGCCGGGTGGGGATGCAGAGGCCGCGCTCGTCGCGCGCCGGCGCCTCGCGCTCCACGTCGTAGCGGATCAGCTCGAACGGCGCGAAGAACTGCGGGGTGGGAGAGCCGGGAACGGCCGGAATGTCCTCCCCGTGGAACGTTCCGGAACGTCCTCCCCAAGGAACGTTCCGGAATGTCCTCCCCAAGGAACGTTCCAGAACGTTCATCCCGCAGAACGTTCCGGAATGTCCTCCCCAAGGAACGTTACGGAATGTCCTCCCCAAGGAATGTTCCGGAATGTCCTCCCCAAGGAACGTTCCAGAACGTCCTCCCTCCCCAAGGAACGTTCC